TCAGCACTGTGATGGGTTGGTGGGGGGGTTCAGCACTGTGATGGGGACTCGGCAGAGGGGGGGAGCTCAGCACTGTGATGGGGGCTCGGCAGAGGGGGGGTGCTCAGCACCACACAGCAGGAGGATGGGGTGAGGCGTGTGTGGATTGTTGGCATTTTGCTCTGTTGTGTGAATCACTATCAGCTGAAACTGACTAGATAGCACCTAACAACAACAACAATGCCATGCTTACTGAGGGGACATTAACATTTCCCCCTTTAGGACTAGGGACGAGCAAGGATTGCCTCTAACCAGTTCCGTCTGACATTGCCCCAAAGATCCTAGCCATTGCCTATGGAAAGCAAAGATATGGAGGCATCAGACAAGAAAGAAAGATGTACCAAAGACTCATTTGCATTAACATGATTGATAATGAGGACATTCTGTGGCATCTATTGAACCACATGGAACCTGGGAGAGCCACGTGAGCCCCACTTTCTAGATCTCACAGCTCTTCCACCTTTGACGTGTCCATGGCCTCCTGTTATCAGTGAAGTTTTATAGACTAGCAGGAAGCCTTTTGGAAATGAATTAAAAAAAAAGGGGGGGATGCAATGACATAAAACCCACAATCCTATTTGTCCTTTCTGCAGGTTCTGTATTTATAAAAGACTGACTGTCACATCTATGTGGAAGTAGCAGGGCCCACAGCACTCAGTGCCATCTTGGGAAAGAACAGCGAAGTTGGGAGGGTTGGGGACTTGTGATAAAGTTGTCATAGCGAGGCCTCAGTGATGCACTGCTGCTGGGCCTCACCCAAAGATCACAGCTTTGGGGAGCCCTGTGGAGCTGTTTTCCTGGACACACTTGGGTCTCTGTGAGTCAGAATCTGCTCGGTGGTGACCGGTTTTGTTGTTCACAAGGCTCTGCAGTCGCCGTGATGTTGAAGGAATGTAGGACTAATGGGAACAGCCTGGTGTTCCCAGAAATAGAAACAGCCCCACCGCATGGCCCATCGTGCTGGGAGCAAGCGTGTTGCACCAGCCGGAATGATGTACATCATTCAGCACCTTGATCCTTCCCTCAGACTGTGGGGGTCATGGTGCTGTGTGAGGAACACACAGGCCTGTTAGCGCAGTCCCGGAATGTGCCTGCGGAGCAGATGGGAGCAGTGGGCTCCATGGAGTGGGAGGCCAGAGCACCTCATGCATGGCGATGGTAGGGTCTAGCTGAAGTTGTGGAGGTGTGTCTGAAAAGTCTCTCAATGGCGTATCAAAGCGGGGGTTCTGAGCCTCCCTCCTGACCATCAACTCTGAGGGCACAGTCCCATTGAGGTCTGCAAACATCCCAACATGGTTTCTGGGCTTGGGAATCCCTACAGAGCTGATCTGGCCTGGGACCCTGCTGTGCACCTCTTCTGGCCAGCTACTGGAGTGAGCAGGGAAGAGCCCCTGGCTGTGACCCTGTTCCCAGAGAGCTTGGGCACTGAATTCATATGCCTTTAGAGGGACAGGGCTCAGGGCTCACCAGGGACCCCTGAAACTAGAAGGGAGAGGTCTGGGGGACCCATGTCCTGGGAACTGCGTGATGGCTACTAAGTCTCAGTCAGTGACCATGGATTGCAGGTCAGACCCATTGATGGCTTTTTAGCCCACAAGGAGGCACCAGCAGCCGAGCTGATAGAGGCCCCGGGTGGGCACAGGGCCCCTCTTCCCTCCTCTGGCACAACTACTCTAGTCTCCTCATGAAGACAGAGCCCCAGAGGAGGGCCCGTCACAGCTCCTACCCCTCACTGCCCTCACACGTCTACTCTCAACTCCAGCTGCGCTCACATCCAAGTGGGTTTATTTAATCACAAGCCTCCCCTCTGAGCAGAGAGCTGGGCAGAGAGACACTGAGAGATGATGGTGTGATGCGAGAAGGTCACAGAAGTAAGAAATGCTGGTCTAAGGGAGAAGGGACAGGTGTAGCTGCTGTGGTCATCCACACCAGGGAGGTCCCTGGAGCCCCTGTCCACATATGACCACAGGGCAGCATCCACTCGGGGTAAAGCTGAGAAGGTGGGAGGGCAAGAATGGAGGATGAGGAGGAACAAGAACCAGAGAGAGGGGGAGAGCGAGGAAAGTGATGCTGCCACTGGGGTGGTAATCCACGCCAGAGAGCAAAATGTCAGTGAATGCTTGAACCGAAAACCAATCTGCTCTGTAAACATTAATTCAATTAATAATAAAAAAGATTTTTAAAAAAGGAAGAAATCCTGCCAGAGTCCCAGCCTGGGAACAGGGGAGCCCGTCCCTGAGCTACTGAACTCTTCACTACGTGGGGTCTGTTTCTCAGAGACCCTGGTGCATGACCCAGCTTCCTCGGGCTGGTGCTCACATCCCAGGTCAGTGAGAGTGGCCGGTGCCGGCGTTGCTGTTAGGATCAGCCTCTGCTAAGGAAAGCAAACTGGCAAAGGCCCTGAGCTCAGTCCCGAGCAGCAGTCATCCTTTCTGGGCTGTGGACGGCCTCAGTGTAAGAGAGTGTCCAGTGGTACCTTCACGTGGCCTTCATGGTGCCGACCTGCAGCAGCCTCAGTCAACCTCCGTGGGCTCCAGAGGGCAGGCAGGAGGTCCCTACCCGAGCCCTCATCCCAGGGGACCACAGACACACAGCACCCTGGTCCTGTGTTCCAGGACCCTCCTGGCCCGAGTCACTTCATGGTCGAGAGGTTGACGGGTCTGGAGACAGTGCGTCAATGAGCAGCGCCCAAGGTACCCAGCCCACCTCACCCCACAGGGCATGCCAGTGCCAGGACCAGTCTGGTCCAGCCACAGTGCTATGACCTGTAGACCCAGCTTGGCCCTGGGCTCTGCTTTTAGACCCTCTGGGCAAGGACAGAATGGAGGGCCTCAGTGGTGGCTGTGCAGCTGGACGTTACCTGAGCAGTGGCTGCCGGGGGGAGGGTGGCTGGTCTGTGCTGGCACACGGTGGGGCCTTCCTGGTCACCTGCTTGTAGATGTTCCTGGCAGTCACTCCGATCCACAGCATGGTGGCCAACGTGGAGTAGTGTAGCAGGATGCCCACCTGGGAAAGGAGAAGGTGTCAGCTTGACCCCTAAGCTCCAGAAAGCCCAGCCCAGCCTGCCTCCCTCCATGTCTTCAGGGCCAAGGATGAGACAGTAGGGGGCAGGGGCTTCTCTCAGGCCATGGGGACCCCTCAGGGGAGATGTTGGGCTGAGAAGCCACATAGCTAGCGAACTGTACTCCTCTGCCCAAGATAGGGGGACTGGGAGGTCTGGGGGCCTGAGGTTGTGGAAGATCTGGGGTGCCTGCATTTCTAAGAGGGTATGCTGTGCGTGCACATGGCCACAGGATCAGGCCCTGGACCTTGGAGCTGAGGCTTTCATAGCTGAGGAGTCCTGGATGCAGAGGTTGTGACCCAGTTGGGGGCTAACTGACCCTGTCACATGTGATTGGATAGAACTGGCCCTGATGACAGAAACCACACACATTGAGTCACCACAGTGGCTACCCAGCCCCACCACGTCTTTGCCTTCTGCTGGTCCTATGAAATGAAGCTACCTGTGAAGCAGCAACCTGGCACTTTGCAGTGATAAAGAGATCACAGCTGTAATTGGATAGGACATGCTGTTTAAGGAACAGAGGTTCTCTGGGGTAGGGGTCTGAAAACTTGGTGAATTCATGCTGGACTCTGACTTGAGAGACTACAGTCAGAGGTGAGAAAGTGGGGTGAGATGGGTTCCAAGCTCTGTGTTGATGTTCCTGTGACCCCCAGAGGTGCTTCTGGGTCAAGACCCTGCCAAGTCTGTGGGCGGAGTCCTGACCCTGACTGTGGCTGTGAGTGTAGAGGAAGGGTGTCCCTTTTCTGAAGGTGCCATCTTTCTTTCCAGAGGACAGTGGCATGTTGGTTACTGTCACACGTAAATAGGAGCTCTGCAGAGTGACCCAAAGCACTGGCCGGTCCTGGGGCTGCAGGACCGATAGAAGGCCTGGAGACAGAATCTGACCTGACCATCTGTGCGGCCTGATGCAGCTGGGGACAAGCTAGTGGGCTCTCCAAACAAACAAGCAGAATGCAGCCTCCTCACAAGCCACTCTGGGTGACGTGAGGTCAATGTGAAATGCCACGAGGCTGCTTCCTTCGGAAAGAAGCTGTCACACACTCCAGTGTGGTTGTCACGTGAACATATGGCTCCTTGCATTTGGTAATATACTGCAGCACAAGTGTGGCTTCATCAGAAACGGCTGGACCGCTGGTCAGCAAGCCTGGGCCCAGTGTTTCTCCAGCAGCCTGGGAGTCCGAGTGCTCCACCTCAGAGCTTTTAGTATCAGATTTGGGTTTTACCTGCTCCAACAGGTTTTGTTGCCATCTTTCATTCCACTCCCTTACTAATAAGGGGACCCTCAGTGGGATGATGAGACCCAGGAGCTGCAGCAGTGATCCCCACTATACCAAGGACCACGAGGACGTCTCAAGGCTGGACTTTTATTCTGCCCCCATGAGCTGGGGCTGGCTCGGCCTCAGGCTCCATGGCATGGTGCCGTGTGCCCTCTCCTGTGCGTGGCCACCATCTGCAGTCTCTGATGAGCTGTCTGCTCAGATCTTCTGCCACTTTGCAATCACACTGTTTGTTTTCTTGGTGCTGAGTGTTAACCGTTATTTGTCTCTTTCAGATCCAAGCCCTCATCAGCTGTGTGTTTAGTATCCGTTTGCTCCCATCTGTGCTTGTCTTTTCTCTCTTCTGACAGCATCTTCCCTGGGCAGAAGTTTTCACTTTCAACAAAGTCATTGTTTTGTTTTCTGAGACATGCTTTCCTGTTGCTTCTGAAAAGTCCTTGTAAACCAAGATCCCCTGCATTTTCTCCTGCAAAATTTTCTAGAGGTTCTCGCATCAAGGTCTGTGGTCCATTTTGAGTTAATTCTTGAGAAGCATGGAAGCTCCGTGTCTCCATTTCCTCAAGGTGTCTGTCATGATGGCTGGTCCACTCTGTCCACTGAGATAATGGAGACTTCATGATTGATAAAAGGCCGCCGAGTAACCTTAGATGCTCACTGCTGAGTGGAAGAGCCCACTAGTGTGAGAGGACCACAAAGTGCATAATTTCAACTAGACAACATTTTAGAAAAGGCAACCTCTGTGTACTGAAATGGTCAGTAGTGGCCAGGGGTCTAGGTGTGGGTGGTGAACGGGAGGGACTGGGGCATTTTTAGGGCAGTGAAGCGATTCTGCATGATAACTATTCTAGTGTGACCTTGTGCGTTTGTCCCGTCACAGGACTTCTCTTGCAGAAAGTGAGCCCGGGTGGAGCTGTGAGACTTGGTAACAATGTATCATTTTCAGTTTACAAATTGCAACAAATGAATGTCAGTGGCTGATGAAAGGAGAACCAAAAACAAGGAGCAGAAGTCCTCAGGAAGCCTCCACATTTTGTGCACAGTTTCTTTGCATAACAAAATGACTCCAAAAGAGTCTATTCAAGCCCAAGATGGTGGGGCCATGTTTGGCCCCTGACAAGGCTCTCTGCCCTCCATCCTCTCAGGCCACACCTTCAGCTTTCACACCTCATGCCAGCGCTGACACTGTTTATCATGTGTCCAGCAGTGGCCATCTGTGTGTTTATGATGTCACCTAATACTTTTAATGGTGCTCACAGTCATCTCTGTTGCTATAACAACCATCTGTTCTCTGCAGCCAGAAGTGCTGGGTCTTCTCTCAATGCTAACTTGGATCAGATGGGGGCAGCTGGCCCGAGGACCCCAGGCAGGCACCAAGGGCAGGCTCCACGGGAAGGGTGCTGGTATTCAACCTGCCCCAAGGCCTAGCTCTCTGTTCTCTCTGTTCCGCACCTGTGAGGCTGCACGTGGGTGACCCCAGGTAGAGGCTCTGCTCATTGGAGAGCTCCAGACCCCAGTGGAGGCCTCATTTAAGTCATGGTAAGGAGGGACAGCACCTGAAGATGGCCAGAGAGCCAACCCATCCCTCTCTCTCCTGTTTACTCTTCTTAAGTTTTGGGGTTTTGGTTAAGTACTTGTTCCATTGATGTCTGACAGGCACAGAGGGGTCCTGGGAGTGAGCCTGCTGGATGGAAGATGGACAGGTAGAAGGTGGATGGACACATGGACTGTTAGTGAAGGACAGATGGAAGGACAGGCAGAGGATGGTCAGAAAGACAGGTGGGTAAGCAGGAGGTGTTCTGGGTACCATTTGAAGTAGAACCAGCTTCAAGGACTTGAGCCAATTTCCTACCTCCACGTGTAGGTTCCTTCCTGGGGGCTCAGAAATCTTCTGGGCACAAGGTGGCATGTTTATCTGATGACCTCGGTCCTCCTAGGCCCCAACCCTTAGTGCCTTTGCCACCTGATACCATCGTGGAGATCAGGTCTCTGGCCCTGAGCTGAACTGTCCAGGAGGGCACAGCTCCTCTGGCCACAGGCTGCATAACCCAGTAAGCATGACAGTGTCCTGCGGCCAGTGGGTCCGGCAGCCTGCAGTTCAGCAGCATGATCAGAAACCTGAAGCATACTCTGGTAGCATCCTTCCCAGCCGTGCTGGCCTAATTTCCCGATGTGCATCTGTGTAGACATGCATGCTCACCGTCACTCAGGCCTGTGGCATCTGGAGGTTCCAGCAAGGGCACTACCTGAGAGAGGGCTCTAGGCCCAGCTGTGCTGGGTGATGGTGTCATACTGGCTGTGGACCCAGTTTCAGTTCTATGAGGTTGACATGGAATGACCACAGAGGCAGGCCCAGCGGTGTGGACAGTCCAGGGGCAGGGTGTGGGCTTGACTCCCAGGATAAATCTTGCTAACCTGCCACCAGTAGGACCAATAGGCAATGTCATGATGGATGGAGAGGAGATTGAAACTGTCTATAGTATCATCTTGCTTGGGTCCACGATCAACACCCTTGGTACCAGCAGTCAGGAAATAAGGAGACGTATTGCAAAGGGAAAGCCTGTAGTTAGGGGACGCTCCAAATTGAGGAGTAACGATGTCAGTTTGAGGACTAAGATGCATCTGACTCAGGCCATGGCTTTTCCAATTACTAGCTATACATCTGAAACTTGGAAAATAAATAAGGATGACAGAAGAAGAATTGATGCCTTTGAGCTGTGGTGTTGGAGAAGAGCACTGAATATCCCATGGACGGCCAAGAGAACGAACAGATATGTCTTGGAGAGGATGCAGCTGGAGTGCTCTTTGGAGGTAAGAATGATGAGGTTCTTCTCACATACTTTAGACATATTGCTAGAAGGGGCTATTCCTCAGAAAGGGACATGATGTTGGGAAGGGTGGAGGGTTGGGCACATGAGAGGAAGACCCTCAACCAGGTGGATTGACACGGCGACTGCTGCAATGGGGTCTGTATGTCAAAGTGTGAGGATGGTGCAGGACAAGACTGGGTTCAGATCTTCTGTTCATAGAGTCACTAAGAGTCGTACTCAACTCGACCGCACCTAACAGCAACAACAACAATAACCTCCTGCCTAATAATTTTGGACGGTGCCTGTTTTGGCTTCTGTAACACTGCATATGCAGATAAGCAGGTGAGCAGGTCAGCGCAGAGCAGTGTAACGTGTCTGACCAATTGGTCAGGGGCGGTGATTTTCTTTCATGTTTCTGATCTGTAAGAGAGGGAGTGTCTCATTTCTGGTACAACATTTGGAGTCCCCTTGCTCTCCCTGTTCCTGCCTGTGGCCTGCTAGTAGGAACTCTCTCCAGAGGGCATGGGACCTGAAATGTTCCAGGGCCTGGGAGGAGAGGAATCCTGCTTGTGGGCCGCAGGAGGGAAAACAGAACCGGAGAAGCTGTCTGGTCCTGAACCTCTGGAGGCGAGGAGTACCTTTAATTGCCCTCACTGAACATACCTGGATATCTGGTGAGCTCAAGTTTCTGAGTGGCGGGAGAGGCTAGATGCAGCCGAGATCACCCAGTGGTCAGTGTGCCGAGATGTTGGCCCTAACCGTGGTTTCTGGAATCCTAGGATTATTTGTGATCTCTGTTGGTCTCTGTTGTGTGAGTCGTTCATTTTAAATGGAGGGAAATTGGATATTGTTAAGAAA